ATATATATATATATATATATATATATATATTCCAAAAAATGTTAAAAGAATAATTTTCTTACAACTGCCATAAACTTCCTATCATAAAAATAATAATAAAGAAAAGTTCTAGAGTTATGATTGCAGTCTGAAGTAGAAAGCAAATAAAAGCCATTTCAAATAGGGAAAATGATTAAGTGTGGCTGACTGCACGTTTGGACAATAGCCCGAATGCAATCATGCCACAGTACATCACATGACAACCCATTTAGACCATCGTCCAAACGTGCAATCGCCGCACATAATAGTCACTTCTCAAACAGACCCTCAATTTGATCATCAAAACATGGAGCAAATGATACATGAATGCAAATGTATTGAAGACATTAAAAACCTCATAAACATATTCACCAAGAATATATTGACAGTCAATAATGAGCAACAAAGGTAATGAGACGCAAGAAATTGGAACGAGCTAAAGTCGACGAATTGCATAATCACTACCCTTCAATTGAAGATCAAAATCTCTACAATTTTGCCCCAAAAAATAAAAATATAACCATTGATGAAAGAAAAATTGGTTCATCCTACTGGAATCGGATGGCTGCCGAAAGCTCTACCTCTCAAATCTGATGGGTTCAAATTGCGATTTTTTTAAAGCAAAGACAGCAAATATATTGCCGGAAAGTCTACAGGTGAAGCAACCAACAGAGCTCAAGTGCTCAGTCAGCAGGTCTGTGGCTATGTAGAGGCCCAGAAACCCTAACTGTTGCTGAAGAAGAGTAAAAGTCTTTTAAATTCATTCTCCAACGGTCATGCCAAATCCAAACTTGTAATCTTTCTTTCTATGGTCGATCTGTAAAGAAATTCTATTCAGATTACTGAGGAAAAGGGAATAACATGGTGAAGCAGAAAGGGAGCTGTAGAATGTTTTCAAAATGGGGAAATTTACATGCATGCATTTACATATCTAACACCTAAAGTTTGATATTTCCATTTACAACACCTCGGAATTAAAAACCAATGAGTACTTCACTATTAAAAAGTTATGAATGGTGGTATTTTTTTATGTGATTTCGAAGTGTTATGTAATTAAATATGAAATATTAGGTGTAAGATATGTAAAAGAAATGTGTGGAATGTATGTGAAAACCCCTTAAATATATATATATATAG